GAGCAAGCGAGATACAAGAATGAGGCGACGAGCAAAATGTAACCTGAGAACAGTTGAAGAAAATTGTTGTGTCCTTGACTTCGGACAAGTCGACTCTTCGTCCTGAGGCCGCACACGAGAAATACAGGAATATTTATTAGAAAATAATTGAGGACAGTAAAATAAAAAGAGGCGATGAGTGAACAGTCGAACTGACAATGACTAACAGCGAGCGCCTTTTATAGCGCTCAATTCCCGCGCATTGAGGTCGCAGGCGCCTCAGCGAGGGCAGATCATACGAGAAAATAACTGATCAGACACTAACACAACAAAAATCAAAAATTGTTACTTCGCGAGTGCGATGTAGAATTTTTTTCCTTTTTCTAGCAGTGGCGTTCCTGTTCCCATTCCCGTTGGTGTCGCTCGAATAATTGGCAAAGTCTCCAACCCATGATTTACCTATCCTTACTATAGCTATTTTTCAAAACTTTATTTTAAAGTTTTTAAAAGAGCCTTGATTATTTTTTCGATAGAGTGAAAAGTGCAAGGCAGCTCAACTTTTTAGCATTTATGATCGGGTTTTCAAAATTTCTAAAATAATTTTTTAATGCTACCAAAATTCATATTTGGTCATCCCAAGCCTCATAAAACATTGAACAGGGAGCAACTAGGGTATTATTCATTATTCGATGCAGATTGTCTTCCTTTTTCTGGCAGTTGTTTTTACTCCCAAATTTATGAGGGTTTTGAGGATGGATCGTAATTTCAGTTTTGAACGCACCCAAGTTAACCGAAATCAAACAATAATTCGCAGTGATAAACATTCTTTTGCTTTGTTAAATCAGTTTTTATGCAGATTGAAGCTCCAAATTGCTAAGATTTACTAGTGTTTAAAGCATTTGTGTATTTAACGTCTTCGCAAAAAATGAAGAATTTTGAAAAAATTCGCTTACAATGCAAGCCAATGTAAGAAGCCCGAAAAATACAATGCCTTACATTTTTACTCTATCCGACAGTCAAAAAAGCCTTTCCAGGAGCTGGAAATGGAAGTTGTGAAAATAGATAAAATAAGGATAGGAAAAATTTATGTGTTGTCAAAGATCCTCACAATTCTTGAGCGAACATCAAGAGAATCGAAACAGGGACACTACTGCTAAAAAGAGAAAGAAACTGTGCAGACTTTAGAGCGTTTGCCTATTTCTGCCTATTCGGACGGTATTAGGATAGAACTCAAAAACGGCACAAACTTTCGGACCAAACTAATACTAGGCTGAATCAGAAGTGCTGTCCAATTTTCAATTGCCTTGTTTTAACGCAGCTATTTTCTTTGGGTTTTGCAGTTATGCTGTCATAACCATCGTCTAGAAGTACTTTTCTTGCTCTTTCTAGTGCTTGCTGATGCTTGGCGAATTAACTTTCAACTTTTTTTTGAAATGAAATTTTAACACGTTTCGGTCCGAAATCTCGCGCGGCGAAAAGGAGTGCACTTTCACCCGTAGGCCAACAAAAGGACCTTATTTCGTAAACTGTGCGCTACATCTGTAATCAGCTTGCCAGATAAGTTCCATACCCAAAGTTCTGAACGGATTCGAAGTGTTTGAATTTTGTCGCTTGTGAAGGACCGTTGTGCTTTTTCAGAAGATAGGAACAAGAACTCGATTTCTAATAGTATCGAAAAGTATTAGGTCGTTTCGAAAGTAATGTCGCTTTTTTCAAACATATGCCACATTTCGTGGAACAAAAATATGTAAGAGATTCTGGTAGCATTTGATGCAGCATTTCATTTTCTTTCTAGTGGTTATGAAGATGTTGCAATACAGTATGAGCTTCCAGAAAAGAGTCAAAATCTGCGACCTATGATTTTTAAGATGGCATTTTATAACAAACTCAGAAGGAGTCCAAGTAATGGATGGATGGAGCAAATCATACAGGAAACAGCACAACTTTTTTCTAATTTTCAGAGCTCGTTCTAATTTTTGTACAGATTTTTTTGATGGAACCGCCGAATTTTAGCAGGCTCGTCTCAAATACAAGTGCATCAAACGCCAACAAGTCTTCGGATTTTGAAACTTACAAAGATAGATTATGGTTTGGCAAGAATTTTACAAACCAAACGAGCATTCACCGTTTCGGTTTAGCAACTTGGGGTGCCTTGGAAAAGTTGAATTATGATGATTTTATCCCGGAAAACTTGATGCATCGACAAAAAACAATCGCTAAAAAGAGGAGGAAAAGCTGCATCGAATGACACCCGAGTTGCTTGCCGTTGTTGTTCTGTGAGGTTTGACTTGACTAAATAGGGAATTTAATGGCATTGAAAAATTGATTGTAGAAACTCTGAGAAGCAAGCTAAAAAAAAAGAAAAATTTATTTTGTGTCCTGTAGGGTTTGCTCTATCTACCAGTCACTTGTGCTTCTTCGGAGAATAAGTACAAAAATTTAGATACAATAGCCGAACTTGACCATGGCAAAAAGCATGAGTCGCAGATTTTGGTAATTTTTCGAGAGCTCATTGAACATTATGCAGTGAAATCGCAACCACCAGAAAGAAAATGAAATGCTGCATCAAAGCTCCTAGAATCTTTCAAAAAGGTTGATTCCGCGAATAGTGGCGTTCATTCAAAAAAAGCGGCATTACTTCCGAAACGACCTAATATCTATGCTGCAAATGGTACACGTCAATATTGAAACTACGGTTTTTCTTTTTGAAATGAAAGTAAAGGGAAGTTGCGACGTCGCACGCGTCGGTCGCGTTGCCGCACCTCGTTGCGAATGTTGTTCGATTTGCGCTCATATCTCCTAAATAAATATCGGCGGCACAACTCAACAGATTCAACTGAAAAGTATAAACTTAGGCCTTTGACTTTATAACCTTGGGCTAAAAGAAAACATCCTGTAAGCGACGAAAAGGTCCTTCAAAGTAGGATGCTGAACCATGTGCAGCACTGGTCCGAAACGTGTTAAGCCCCGAAGCAGTTGCCAAAATGCAGTCATGCCCAAGAAAAAGTTTCCATGAAGGGCAACTTCCGCAGTATTCACAAAATTAAATATATGATAATTTATAATGGTTGAGGGGGTGTGATGGGATAACACAAGCACACTTTTCCTCCGGCGTAGAGAATGTCTTACTTTTCCAATTTTTTTTCAAAGCTGGAAGAAAACTCAGTTTAACAAGCGACAACAATCTACATATAGCGGTGGGTGATGCCTTCAATATTGCATATGTTAGAGCAAAGCGAGAGCAAGCAGAAACGTCAGTCAATTGGCTTTTTTCATTTGCGACAACAAGAAAAAATCAAATATTACAAACTCGGTATAGTTTCGCACGCGGAGGAGGGCTCAAATAATAGGGTTTTTTGATTTGCTCGCCAGTCCTATGCAACAAAGGTAACTCGAATTCTCTGTAGTATAGGCTACTTAATGATGGCAGTCAGATATGTCTGTTCATTCTCATATAAAAGCATTAGTAAGTCAAACTGGGCGGAAGACTTGTCTGCACTTGTAAATAATTAAAATAGATTTCAAAATTTTTTAAAAATTCATTTTAGCCTTATAAAAAAATTTTTTTCGAGGGGCCCGCGAAATTTTAGGAAGCACGCCAAAAAAAATTTTCGGAGCGCGGGCTGACGCCACGTACCTTCATCGGAAAATTTTTTTTGTCGCCCCCCTCCGGTACGCCACTGAGGTTAGCCTACAAAAGTCTCCAGCACTTTTTCGAAAAGCATACAGGATTTTCAACCGAAAAACAGGACCATTGAAGAGAGGGGAAACCGGCACCAAAAACGATTGAAATCGTCTACAAATTCAAAAACACGGACGCAAAGTTCATTCAACAGAAATTAAAAATTAGCATCGGAATTACCTGACAATTGTTGGTGAGTTTAACGTTGGCATTTAGAAACAATTACCTCTGCCAACCTAATTAGTTGTCGCAATGTTAAACTCACCAACAATTGTCAGGTTAAACTCACCAACAATTAAACTCACCAACAATTGCCTGACAATTGTTGGTGAGTTTAACATTGCGACAACTAATTAGGTTGGCAGAGGTAATTGTTTCTAAATGCCAACAATACCAATGCGTAATTAACACATTGACGACCGCTTGACATACATGGTGTGTCAAGGCTTGACATACCATGTTATCGTTGAAATGGCTACTATTTTGTGTTAAACCCACTCCGAGAGTTTTTGTGCTGGATCTAGACACAACCTTTACTGTTTTTGCCAGCATTCCAGAGTTACTGTAGATGAAATTTCGCGTGATTTTATCTGAAAAATGTTGACCAGTCCGTGAAGCGCCTTGGTCTTCAAATTAGATGGCGTTTTTGTGCAAATGGTATATCTACGTTGGCATGCGAACTTCCATAGTTTGAACGAGATTTGCGTTCCATAAATTTTGGAACCGCGATGGCCAATAGAGGATGATCTGTACTATATGGCTATTGCTATACTCGATTGGCTCGAGAAATGCGTTTAGAATTTGAGGCTTCAAATAAATGTGCATCTTAGCAGCTTACAAAGTTCGAAAGCGAATTTTCAAAGTAAATTAACTCACCAAATCATTTTTGAAACTTAGCTTACTCGACTGTTTTGTTGAACCGACATAATTCATTCGTTATAAAGGCAAGAAAATCAGCTGTGAAAGAGATTGGAATAGAGATGTAAAATAACTTTAATTGCATTTCATCATGTTAACAGATTATACAAAATTACAACTGATATTTCACCGTGCTGTGAAACATTCAGAGGGTCCTTTTCCAGCTACAACAAATGCCTGAAGAAGAGGATACTTCTTAGAACGCATTGTTATAAAAAAACCTCGAAAACCTGGGCTGTCACAAGCTGTCACACTCAGATTCTATGACTTGACTTCTGTTTACTATGAGGTGGCTCTTTACTTTGGAGCAAAAGCAAGAGAAAGTAGTTACCGTTTTTATGAATTTACTCAAAAAGCTGCCTTGCCTTCCAATATATGTAAACTGTAATTGATGTGCTTGTAAAATAGTACCATATTTCAGAGATACATGGATGGAATTTGCTTCTTGAAGAAGTTCGAAGACAAAGTACTTCCTAATACTATCATTAATTACTGGTGTTCTGTCATTACAGCCCTTTTTGTTCTAGCACATATTCTATTCATTAATCTTGCACTTAATTAGCGTCGTTAGAACTGTTAGCAGTTTCCATGTTCTTCATAATTATTGCAAAAATAACCTCGAGATTTGTAATTGGCTTAAGCAACGAAACCAAGAATTTTGGGAAACATGTTAACTAGGCTAACATTTGAGGCCGTCACCTTTTTTGAAGCCTGAAACTTCAATTATCAGTAATTTATCCTCCTAAGTGCCTTGTCCAAGCGCAAAGGCATATTTGACTCGAAGTATTGGGACTAACAACGGGAGCGAATCGTCAGCGCTCACCTCGGCGATCATCCAGGGTTCGAAGAAGGTGACGGCACCAGAACCTAGCCTGATTAATAAAGTGTTCTAAAATTGGTCGACTACAAAAGGCAATTACAGTTAGCTGCGCCAAATTTGTGAACAACCCTCGGGATCTTATGATTGCTCATCAATATAGCACAAGACTGAGATGTTTGGCTGCGGGTCAGGAGTCACGATTTTTCGCGAAGCGACGCCGCAACGCGACATCAAGCAGTACAAGGCACAGCTTCCGTCAGTACTCCTGCCGCAGTGTTACTTATGCCATCGAGTCATGTATCTGCCGCCACCCCTCACCCCCCTACTGTGGTGCCGTGCCACTTTATCACCGGAGAGTTACTACGAGGCACAAAATTTGGACGCGGCGAGCGATCACCGCGCGCGATGTGACTTCTGACCCGAAGCCGAGATGTTTATGCGTCAAAGGCTACTGTCAAATAGCTAATTTTTGAGATGGGGAAACATGAAAGTCGTGCCCGGCAGCCGACTATCGCAGCTAGCCGCTGGAACTGCCAGCAAGGCCGCCGCACATGCTACAGTGATTACGCTAGCCGCCTCTAACTGTTGCCGAAATTGCCGAGAAGTTTCCGCGCACCTCCTCGCACTGGAGGGCGATATAAGTTTCAGGAATAACGCGATAGCCTTAAAATGTGAATCACTTTGAAGAGGGACAAATTCATACTTTATTGAAATTTTGCAATGTAGAACTACCCAAAAAATTTTCAAAATCTTACAAACACAAAATGATTAGATAGTAAATCAAAACTTTTTTGCTAGAAATCTTTACATCAACATAATTGCTTGTTGACGTTGTAGTTTAAAATATTTATAATTTTTTCAATAAAAAATTCTTAGAAATTAAACTCACATGTCCATAAGCATTTGAATTCAAAATGCGGCTCCGTTAAAGCGAATATTGTAGGTGGTTATTGATAGTTTTGGTCGTTTCCTAATTTGCAATGAGTTCTAGGTTTTCACTTTTTCATTATTTACCGTTTTCTAAAAAATCTGGAGAAAAGATGGATTTTCACTTAAGCCTGAGCCTGAGGCTCTTCTTCACAACTTTAAAGATCTGAATAAGGCATTTTGATTTCATAACGACCTTCGCTTTTCCCCTTTAAATTAGCATATGTGCCCTATAGAAGAGAGCGGTTTCAAAGACAAAATATTCCAAAAATTTTTATTTACGATCTATTAGGTCGGTGCAAAAGTTTTGTCAGTTGGAAGCCGCTGGAAAGGGGAAGAAATTCTGCATCGGATGCATTTTGAAGTGTTCGTTTATCTCCATTCTAGCGTGTTTGTCGATGGATTGAAAAAACTGACAAAACTTTTGCACCAACCTAATATTTTCAACTTTTATCATTGACCTCAATTTGATCGACCTACTTTAGCATATCTAGCTCGCTCTACAGTTATGACAGTGGAATGTGAAAATTCTCGGCGAATTCGGCAAAATCGGCGAAAAACGCAAAGTCGCCGACTTCGCTGACATCGCCGAGAATTTTCACATTCCAAAGTCATAACTTCGAATGCATGTATGAAGCAAATCTTATAATTTCCGCTTACATGGATTACTCGACGTGCTAACAACATTTCTTACATTGTTTTGCTGCTATGGCACATTGTAGGATAGAATATCTGCCAAAATTACACGAATTTCGAATTTGAAAGACAATTCATGAGAAGGTGATTTTGTAACATCATAATCTGAAGAACAATGCAGATGAAGATCTGTGCTGAGCATGGTTCGGTAGAGGTGTTCACAAAGTTTTGAACTCACAAAAATATGCAGACAATTTACGCAATAGATAGGCAAAAAGTGCAGGCGAATTTGCGATTTTGATTAGTTGAGCCACTTCTATCTCACTTTAGCTTTACTGTAAGACTCTCTAGTGCAAGATAAATGAGAATTTCGTAAAGATTGGGACCAAAAACCACTATGAGCGAAGTTTCCATTTAATTCGAGAACCTCAATATTCTGACCGAATCTTGCGCCGCGGCCAAGATTGAAGAGCGAGAAAAAATCAAGTGCTACTAGTTCTTAGAAAATCAAACCATAGATGCTATCCGACCCTTTGATTACAAAAAACACATCTGATTAGCGAGATAGCTTCTCTCTGTAGGACTACGGCGGATAGATTTTGGAGAGTGGATTTTTTCGAAATTTGCTAGCTTCGACCACTTTTGGCCCCGTCCACACTCAAGTCTCCGCCCACTTCTCCCCCACCTTCCCATTCCAACCCATCCATGCCTGGGTTACTAACCCACCATTAACCACCAATGAACCACTTCTGACCAATTTATATATAGAGATCAAAGATCAAATTAAGAAAAACTCATCAATTAAGAAAAACCTTCTCCAGATGCTATATGATAGCGCCCCTTTACATTCATGCTGCTGCCCAAATTTCTTCACCAGCTGGTAGCGCAACAAGGGTTGTACCGAATTATTACTATGCTAATGCCTTGATCATTCTCCTGAAATTATTATTTTGTTTTGATCTATCATAAAATTTCCCGAAATTTCTGTCCGGAACCGTTCTTAGATAAGCTTCTTGCGTAATCAACCTCCGATTTTTCTGTTGATTTTCTGGTTTAGCTCTTCGAATATAAACACAAATACCGGTATCCGGGCACTTCGTCCCCATTTTCCATAAAAATATGCATAAAAATGGACTTTTCCTATTTTGTAAATCCCCGCTTACAAAAGAGCGCAAAGCTCTCTCTTATCATAAAAAGAAAAAGATTATAAAGATGCATATAAATGACTATCAGCATTTTCTCATTAGCGCTAGTCGCGGCTATATGAGGTCACTCTCGCACCTTAATTAGCAAATCTCGCACTTCCGGCTGTCAATTGCAATACCACCCACATAACTTGCAAAATTTCCGTGAATGTCGCGAAATTCCGAAAATTCCGCGAAAATCCGCCGGGAATTTCGGAAGCTCGGGACATTCCCGGAATTTCGCGAAATTCACGGAAACTTTGCACATTCTGCGAGCAATATTGTATCTGGCTAATAAACTGATAAAACGGTAATTTTTTTATCTACTGCTAGCAGATACATTAGAAACGGCTTGTGAATCTTTTTATCCAAACCTTCTTGCCGAAGTGATCTATAAGCTTTTCCACAATTATGACAATGCCATACAGTTATGACAGTGGAATGTGAAAATTCTCGGCGAATTCGGCGATGTCGGCGAATTGGGCAAAATCGGCGGAAAACGCAAAGTCGCCGACTTCGCCGACATCGGCGAGAATTTTCACATTCCAAAGTCATAACTGTATGTCATTAGGTCATAAAATGCTGAATTTGACGGACTTTTCTAATAGATATATCCAATTTTCCCTCAATTGTTCTTCGTTCGACACAAAAGCGAAAAAAAAAGTTTTTAGAAACCAAAGATTCTGTGAATTTTTTTAGCTTTTAATTATTTTGGGTATTCATGATTTGATTTTGTTGCTGACATTACGATGAATATGGTTTGAATGCCACAAAATTGATATATTAGGGTAGCGTAGAGGATGTTGATACGAAAGAGGGGGGGAAGGGGGGGGGGGGGAGGGAAAATTTGGAGAGGTTTGCACTTTCTCCAGCAAAGGCAAAGATACACGCACGCTTCCATGCAAATCAGAAATCAAAGCTTTGAGCGGTCTTGGCAGGAGAAGCAGAGTAGTTTTTGGGATGTAGTCGAAAGGTAGACGAAAATTAACGAATATGGCGCATTTACTTTGATACTACTAAATTTACATATAAGTAAATTTAGAGACATTCAGATGTTTTTAGTGAAAGGAATAAGTTCAGATTTCCCCATGATCTCAAAGGGGCCAAGGACGTTTCCGCACGATTTTTTGAAAAACATTCATTTGAGGGAAAATAAGTAATAGAAAAGCGGAAATTGGGTTGGAAGTTTGAAAAGTATGTAGAATACAGTTGCCCTAAAAGTTTGTGGACGCTATTTAGTCGTTAGTTCTCCTTTTACAAAGTCTTTTCCTAAACTTTAGGTACCATTCCGTAGGGCTGATCTCAGTTTAAATTTATAGCATAAAGACCTATCGATCGTCCTTTACTGTTGTAGGATTACCGTAGGAAATTTGATGAGGGTTTTGAGACCTTGAGAAGTTTTGCTTAAGAAAGAAAACCAAAAAAAAGCCAAATGCTTTACATTATAAACTCTTAGAGCTTTTTGCTTCATATATAAATGCTCTTACCCGTAAAGCTTTTTCAAAAATTGAGCCAAGCACATCGTAACAAATGTTTCCAATGCTAGAGAAGCGATTACACATTTGAAAACTCGAAAAACTCTTGAAATTTGCGCAGTAAAATCAGCATACGTAAAAACTTCGCTATAGAAGTCTTTAGAAATTCGGAGAAGTTCCTTTCGACGCCTAAATTTGCAGCTGCTCTATATGATAGAACTTTTTACCGTAACATAGTGATAGAAAGCTTGGGTGGTCAGCATTTTCCTTTGATTGCATGCTGATGCCAGCTATAAAATTAACCAAAGCTCAGCAAGACGTTGTAGAAGAAGTAGTAGCGATCGAACAGTGTGCAGATGCTCTTGGGACAGCCCCTATAGTTATGGATATCGACGAACATTCGATGC